GTACACCAGTGCAGCAAGTAAAGTCCATCTGAAGGTTCTAGTTTTATAAAGTATAGTATAAAAAAGTAAGAAGTTTACATACGAGTGTTTGGCTGTCCCCCTAATTTATCTAAATCCTTAGACTAAAAAAACTTCAATTAGGCTTAAGGCTGAAGATGCCGTATGTGCATATAAAATACAAATCCCGACGTGTATAGGTGCCTCTCCCTTTTGCTCATACTGTGTGAAAATTAATGTACACCTTAAAAAAAAAAGTATGTTTTAATCTACAGCAACAGAGATCCCACTGGACTACAAAGTCTATCAGAATCCTGCAAACAGATTGTGCTTCATCTGCTTCTTCTCTGGTCACAACAGCCAGACAAATGATAGGCTTAAGCCAAAAGTGACAAAATCCTCCTCGCTTCCAGTTTTGGGCAGAATTGGGCAATTAATCGCATGTGAAAGCTGACAGCCGGCTGCAAAAAAACAATACCAACTGCAGCATCTGTGATCTTGGTTTCAACCACTTTGTTTACTTATGTCGGTACTATAGTGGTTAAGTGAGCATATATTTTACAATGAATTGCAGCATAGTTTAATATAAATTAAGCTGTCCATAAACGAACAAATTTTTTCATTCAGCCTGCGGGCTTAAAGGGAATTTCCACTTTGGCAGCAAAATTTGTTGCATGTTTCTCATTCACATAGCAAACCTAAAAAAAAAAAAAAAAAATTCCTGCTTGCCCAAAACATGATACAAAGAAAAAAGAAAAAAAAAGTGTTCTCTGTACAATACTGAATTTTTCTTGGGAATGCATGGGGGATGGGGAGATTAATGTTAATATAATTAAACCTGTCTGTACTGTGCTGCTGGCAGATGTCATTATACGTTGGAAACTAGATTTTGAACACTGTCCTAACAAAGGGTTAAAGATCTAAAAGCATTGTATGTTAGTCTGTTCCTTGGTCTTTCTATGGGGATTTAAGAGTTTCCTGATACTAAAATGGAGAGAGAGGGAGAAGCTTGCAAAAGGCATGCTATGCAGACACATGTTAAAGATAAGAAATATATTATTTTTTAATTTGTTTCGGTATGCTGTGTGAACAGGAACAAATAACAAACATAGTGGAATTTTCTGAATTTTGTCTGCAAAAGTAGAAATAACAAAAAATAAAATAAATAAAAATCTAAAGCTGGCCATACACCTTACAACCATCGCAAGACTTCCGTCTTGTAAGGTAATTAAAAAAATGTACGATCTGCCCATCTTGGACAGGCAGATCCTACTTGCTTCCTATGACTGCAACCACCGGCCCGTGCGGCATTTGTCTTACGAGCAGGCCACAAATCCGCCGAAAATCGTAGGATTCCCGGCGGGTTCAAAGTACCGCAGCGCTGAATACTGAAAAATGGCCTGGATGGGAAGGGGGTTTAACACCGCGGATGTCAACTGGTTAAACATGCTCGTAAGACAAAAGACGTGCGACCGTACAGTAGAAACGGTCGCACGCCTCCAATACACCTGCCGATTATCGTATGATCGCGGGATTTCCCGCGATTATCGTACGATAATCGGCAGGTGTATGGGCACCTTAACAGGTTCCTCTATCCACGCTTAACAGATGCTGCTGCAGCAACTGCAGCTGTCAGAGTGCATGAAAAGTGACTGCAGCTGATTGGTGTTATATTGTCCACAGAGAGGTATAGGAGCAATGCTAACTAATAACAGTGCAGAACAGGCATAGAGCACACAGTGATGAGTTGACAAGACTTCTAGCAGAATAGATCAGGTATTTTTTGCTCTTATTGAACATATAGAACAAAGCACTTTCGATTGTATCTCTCAGAAACGATCAATAAGTAAACATATACAGGATCTTTTAAGGTGACCTTTGGCGCCTGAAGAGGATTTGGCGATCCACACATTCCCTTTTCCACTCTCCTTCCTCTCATTGAATGATTCCAGGAACTCTTCTCGCTCATCCGTGCGGGTGCTGTTTATTAGGTCTTGAAGTCCTTTCCTCACTTGCCCCACTGTTAACTTCTCAGACTTCTCATTGGTTGGGTAAATCACATAGGATTCTGGAAACCACGGGCATGATCCAAAAAGCTCCGGACTTGTTTTGAGGAGTCTAGGAAATAGGTTTACAACAAATGTAGACATGGTCTCAAATTCAACAATCTAGAACAAGATGAGGAGATGGTTTCAAGACATCACACTATTTGGTTAGACCTAAAAGCTGAATTCCAGCTATGATTTATATATAGTTATATTGGTCCAGCTTGGCACAATGTAAGTATACATAAATTATCTCTGGCAGAGCCACAGGGATCCCATAAAGCACAGTAGTAGCCAGAGCTACTACAGTGCTTTACAGCAATCTTCAGGGTCCTGTACTGCACTGTGCTTAGTGACTCCCCTCTGCTCAGAAACCACAGCGGGTAGCTCGCTCTGCACAATGACCAATCAGAGAATGCCTAGTATTTTTATCAATGAATACTAGGCTTTGTCTGGTTGGACAAGGGGTGTATTAAATGTAAATTACTATGGTGTGACAGTAAAATACATTACACAGTTAGATGTAGTGATAATTCATTTCCAGCTGAAAAAATAATTATTTCACCACTTGGTAAGTCACTGTCCTAAAACAGGCATGTGCATATCATGCGTCATGACTCACTCAAGTCGGGGTAACATTAGTAGGGAATAACAACAACATACAAAGCCATCCACTACTCTGCCCAAGCTACATCTCCAACCTCATTTCAAAATATTACTCAAACCGTCCCCTCTGCTCCTCCCAAGACTTCCTGCTCTCTTCTCCTCCCATGCTCACCTCCAAGAGTTCTCTAGAGTAGGGCTGCAACAACTAATCGACTAAATCGATTATAATGGATTGAAAAAGTTGACAACTTTTTCAATCATCGATTAATCTGCTTCCGATTAGTTGGCCCTGTTCACGGCTCCACACACGCTGCGCACTGCACCTCCTCCCCACCTCACGCTCTCCGCTGCCAGACCCGCCCGACCGCACCCACGCTCCACACGCCGCACCTCCTCCCCGGCTCACGCTCACCGCCCGCCCACATCCACGATCGGCACAGGAGGAGCAGGTGTGGGGGGATGACAGCCGCCGATAGGCCCAATCTTAGAAGCAAGTTGCTCAGGTAAGCCTGCACTTTCCCACACATGGTGCTCTATAATGTATTGCTGGGATTTGTATTCCTCTATAGCTGGTGGTATTCTGCATTGTGCTGTATAATGTACTATTGCTGGGATTTGTAGTCCTCTATAGCCAGTGCCATTCTGCATTCAATGCTGTATAATTTTACTTTCCATTTCACTATATTGCACACCACACTTTTTTTTTCTTTTTTACTTCCACCGCTCCAAGCTTGCTCCTGTAATGGACTACAATCTCAATACAAACTAGTAGTCCCATCACTGAAGCCATTTTTTAGAATGTATTTTATTTGTTATCCGATTAATCGAACGTAATAAATCGGCTAACTAATCGATTTTGAAAATAATCGTTAGCTGCAGCTCTACTCTAGAGCCTCTTCCTTCATCTGGAACTTCCTACCACAACCCATCCAGCTATCGCCTATTCTGTGGGCCTTCAAGTGATCCCTGAAAACTCACCTCTTCAGGGAAACCTATTCCACCGCCTCTTAAAAAAAATGTATATCTAATCCTTCAAATCAGCTCATCCCTAACAGTTATTACCTTCTGTATCACTTATCCCTCACTGTAGATTGTAAGCTCTCATGAGCAGGGTCCTCTAATCCTTTTGTATGGTTTTGTATTGTAATTGTACTGTCTCCCCATATTTTGAAAAGCCCTGCACCAACTGCTGGCATGATATAAATCCTGAATAATAATAACCCATCAAAGACTTTGGAAACCCTGTGACATCACTAGAGGCAGATATCATTAGGAGAATATCCATCCCCTGCTCACCAACTCCCTTTTATAGCAATATAATTTATATAACAAAGATATTTACAGGTAAATCTCTCCTACAGAAACACAATATGAACCTGGGAAAAAAAACAAACATTTTAAGCATTGCTTACTAAGTGAATAAAAGTGCACCTCTAAACGGCTTTCATAGGCTCAATTATAAAATAACAAAATACTAATTAGTGGCACTTACTTTACCAAAGAAGCTTTCCGGCAAAGCTTATCTGCCCCACGGTAATAATTTACCAGCTGTAGTAGTCCAGGCTCATGCCCTGCAGACAAACAAACAAACATATGTAAATGCTACAGATAAGAAACAATGGCTCTGCTACAAAGAGGTGTCACATTGTGACCCCAGTTTGCATTACTAATGGCAGTGTTGACTCTACATACATGATGGAACAATAATACAATGTTACCTTTAAAAAATAGAGTAAGGGAGGGTAATAATTCCCGTCCGGTTTTCTTTTTTCTTTTTGCAAATTCCATCCACAATAGTGGAGAGGAGCAAATGTAGGAAGTGTTTTACCTGACAAAACTTAAGACCACAACTTCATACATGTGCCCCTAACCCAGTGTACCTGTGATACATTGCCCAGTCCACACCATAATGCTGCATTGAGGAGGGTTGCCTAAAAAACACAGACATGCTATATTTTAAAAGGGCCAGTTCACACCTAAGCTAAACGCATGCACTATTTGTTTTCCCACCACAATGCACGGTATTGTGGTACACTGTGTTGCGTTGCACTGCAATGCACAGGCACTGGGGGGGTGCATTGGGGTACCATTCAAATGAATGGCAATGCACCCTGCGCATGATACCGCACGCTAGGTGTGCTATGAGATAGTGTGCGCTAAAAGCATAGCGTTTAGCGGATAGCGGAGGTGTGAACCTGCCCTTATGCAACGCATCATGTCACAATGTGCTGTGGTGCATAGAGTTGAATAAAGTGTCATAAGATAGACGCACTACTTTTTTCCACGATATTGTGATACACTGTGTTGCGCTGCACTGCAATGCACAGGCACTGGGAGGTGTGTTGGGGTGCCATGCAAATGAGTTGAATAAAGTGTCATTTTGTAACACACCAATAAAAGAGTAAACAGTGAAACGCATTGAGTCAACGCCCCCTACACAACAGACACCAGCGCACCTGCCCTAAAAGTTTGCATATATAGCTCAATAAAAGCAAACCATGCGACGGGTTTTAACACTCCCTGAAATGACTGGGTAGTGAGTGATTACCCAGATCAGGGGTAGGCAACCTCGGCACTCTAGGTTTTGTAGAACTACAAGTCCCATGAGGCATTGCAGGACTGACAGCCACAGGCATGACTTCCAGAGGCAGAGAAATTATGAGATGTGTAGTTTCACAACAGCTGGAATACCGATGTTGCCTACCTCTGACCCTCAGATAATGGTAATGAGCACTGCAGCATGAGCAAGGATGGATGGATTTCCCAGGATATGCTGTTTTCAGTGAATGATGAGCCCGTCTATTTTCATGGCAGAAGTCATTAATCATTTTATAATGTGACGGCAATGGAAAGACAATTGGTACCTGTGCCATAAATATCACACAGGACAAATACTGCGGAGGCTAAAAGCCTGCGTCATCAAAGAAAGCACAGGAACAAGCAGCATTATCAGTGTAATAAATAACCAACAAAATATTTGTGGTCCATTTATCACATCATATCATATCATTACATTACTTAAAGGCGATCTATGGTCAAAAACTAAATCCGGGTTTCTAGATTGAATTTCCATAAGTTGTGTCCCACTCTTAATAACCATATCAATCTAGAAGATTGTACACTTACTGATTGCAGATGCCCATAGGATGTTCCTCCTCATCGCACGGACACAATTTCACACAGCCCCGTAAATACCCTGTTTCCCCGAAAATAAGACCTACCCCGAAATTAAGACCTAGTACTATTTTTGGGAATTGCTAAAATATAAGACCTACCCCAAAAATAAGACCCAGTTGTGACCTTTCCCAAGGCCGGTGGTGGCATAAGGGGGAACTTGAAGAGCCGTGGGAGAGAATCAGCGGTGCCAACAAAGCCAGCGATAGGGGGAGCGAGGCTCCGCCGGAGGGAGAAGAGCCGCATGAGCCGATGTTTCCTCTATAGCGCCAGCTCGTGTCGCAGGTGGAGTGATGCCAAATGCACTCCACCTGTGAGGAATCCATAGTGAAAGTGCGCTTCCCTCATTCTGGTTACCAAATTGCTCTTGGAAAGGTATGGCAACCTGTATTGCCCTGATCGCCCTATTCTTAACTTTGCCATTTTGGATTATTTAATTTGGATTTGCATTAACTTTGGATTGTTATACATTAAAAAAAATAAGACCTACCCCGAAAATAAGACCTAGTGTGTTTTATTGAGCCAAAAAAAATATAAGACAGTGTCTTATTTTCGGGGAAACACGGTATGCACTTCCTTAGTTCACACCTCTCTCAGAGCCTGCCTTCTGAACTACAACTTAATGTCTGAACAATGTAACATCATCAATGCTTGCGGGAAGCAATGCATGATGGGATATGTAGTCTTGAGAAATTAAGATTGCATCCCATCATGTGATCAGAACAGAAAAAGTAGATGAGAAATCTTCCAATGGGGACACCAGTTTTGATGACCCTGCTGATCACCAGGAATTGGACAGGAAGTGAAGAGAAATGTCAAGAAGCTGGAGCCAGGGATTTGGTGCGGGAGTGTGCACATGCGCCTGGGCTTGGCCTGGTTTGGACTTGAGCGCCCACGTATTGTGAATTCTGGCACCCTACGGCCTATTTAGGCTGTGACATTCTGGCCTCCGGTGCTGACTGATCGACAGTCTTCCTGTGTTCCCAAGATCCTGTGTCCTGATTGTTTATCTGGTCCAGCTTGTTTGACCTTGCTCTCACTACTCTGTGTTCCTGTGACTTGTTGGCTTATTCTTTGACCACCGCTCCTGCCTACCGCATTGTACCTCACTGCCCACACATTACGGCTTGCGTTCCTGACTTCGCTCCTGTTTGTCGCCTGGCACGGCTTTGCCCGCCTGTTGACGACCCGACTAGTTCTGACTATGGCTCTTCTGGAACTCTGCTTCCTAAGTGTTCTTCTTCTGTGCCTACTTCCTGCCCAAGACTTGTTGGCATAGCAGATACTGATCTTTAGGGATACATGCAGGCCTGGAGAGAAGGTTAGGGTTACAAGGAAGGCTAATGATAGTGTTAGGGTATCCCAACCCTGTCTCTAATCCTCTCTGTATCTCCAACCCTAGTCACATACCCTCCCTCTAGTCCTAACCCTTGTCACTAACCCTCCCTGTACCGCGTACCCTCTCTCCAACCCTCCCTTTATCCCTAACCCGCTCTCTAACCCTTCCTGTAGCCCTAACCCTCTCTCTAACCCTTCCTGTATCCTAACCGATTGCAAAAAAAATGTGCATACCATTTTATTCTGAAGTAAACTTTGTTTGGAACACTCCATTTCTGTATTTCAGTCTAAATAAAAGATGGTATTTAATTTTTTTTTCTTTAACCTATTTATCGAAAAAGTAAAACAGCCAACTAATCGATAATGAAAATAATCAATAGCTGCAGCCCTAATCGTTAACACTCTTTATCCCTTAGGCTGGGTTCACACCTAGGCGTATCGAATATGCGCGTTACCGTGATTCGCGCTGCGACAAACGCGCGTTTCCGAGGGCTACCTGGCTATATCCCAATGGATACGCGCGGCAAATACGCCCCAAAGAAGCTCCTGTACTTCTTTGGGCGTTTTGCAGTGCGTTCCTACGCGCTGTAAAGCGCCCAGGTGGGAACCATGGCCATAGGCAATCATTGGTTTTCACATGTTGAGCGTTTTACAGAGCGTAGGAACGCGCTGTAAAACGCCCAGGTGTGAACCAGGCCTAAACCTTGTCACCAACCCTCCCTGTATCCATAATCCTCTTTCTAATCCTCCATCTATCCCTAACCCTTGCCTCTAACCCTCCCTCTATCCCTAACCCTCCATGTATTCTTACCCTCTCTCTAACCTTCCTTGTATCCCTAACCCTTTCAAACCCTCCCTGTATCCCTAACCCTCTCTCAAACCCTCCCTGTATCCCTAACCCTCTCTCAAACCCTCCCTGTATCCCTAACCCTCTCTCAAACCCTCCCTGTATCCCTAACCCTCTCTCAAACCCTCCCTGTATCCCTAACCCTCTCTCAAACCCTCCCTGTATCCCTAACCCTCTCTCTAACCCTCCCTGTATCCCTAACCCTCTCTCTAACCCTCCCTGATCCCTAAGCCTCTCTCTAAAAGGTGCCTATACACTGCACGATTCTCGTACGAGAATCGCGGGAAATCCCGCGATCGTAGGATAATCGTGCAGTGTATGGAAGGCGTGTGACCGTTTCTACTGTACGGTCGCACGTCTTCCATCGAACAAGCAGGCTGGAAAACCCGCCGGGAATCGTACGATTCTCAGCGCGTTAGTAGCCTGCTTGTTCGACAACTGACGAACGGGCCGGTGTGCTCACACTGCCCGTTTGCCGTCCTTGCAA